CCATTTCTCCTTTTCTTTTTCCATTTTTAAACTCCTATCTCTTCAGTGCCAAGTGACAGCCCAAAATCGCACTTCATTTTATCTTCACTCAACCTTATTGGGGTTCACTATATGGTCAATTTGATCTGTCCTTTCTTCTTCCACTCTTCAGGGTAATTAGTGAATGTCGAACCTAATTCTTTATTTAGTTGGATCATCCGACATCAGTTGAGTTTGATATATTTTGTAATTTTTTATGCAAGTTTAATGTGTGTAATTATGATCACATAATATTATATTAAAGTTACACAATATAATTAATGTTTAATCACTATATGGTTATTTTTCTTAAATAGATGCTAAAAACCATATGTTTATAAATTGATTTTAATTTATTAAATATTAAATGTTAATTAGTTTATAAGTTATTAATTATTTTTTTTTTGGGTACATAAGAGGATAAGTTATTAATTGTTTGTAAAATAAAACAAAAAAAATCGTTATTTTTAAAAATAAAACTAATAAATTTATGTGACTTTAATATATAATTATGTGATTATATCCATAACAAAATTCAACCTCATTAGTTATTCAATGATTTTTTTTTTTTTTTGACCAGGTAGATGGTTAGGAAGTTAGTAGAGTTAGTTTGTTAGCAGCTGAAATTTTTCCAGAAAAGTGAACCTTTCATTCCCTCATTTGAGGCGCGCGACCATTAAGTTGCAAGTTGGTGGAGTTCATGGCGGTAGTAGAACTCGAAGTCCTAACCTCCGCCTCACCGAAACCCTAAAACTTGGGGCCAATCAATTGGGCCACATGCCCGGTTCGCCATTAGTTATTCAATGATTAATTTAGTGTCGGCTAAGTTTTAAATTTCGAAAAGACTTTTTTTACTGTAAAAGTTAAAATTATCTTCGAACAAACATACAGCTAGGGCTTTTGTATTTTCAATTTTGACTTGGATTCTTTCTTTCTCGCAGACAGGTAGTGTCACTTGCATCCAACCCCACAGGGCCACGGAGCAATATGACATTATGTACGACGAGATCTAATGAAGGGAAAAACTGTTGCTATGCTCAAAAAACAACACATATCCTTGGCAAAATTATATATGCATCGCTGTACAGTTCTGGACTTTTGAGGTGACCCTCTCTGAGAGAATATCAGTGACTTTTCAATGCCGAATTAAAAGTTCCCCATTTGACAAAAACAAACCGTCAAAACAAGGTACTGTGCATCACTTGTTTTTAAGTACCCTTCTGCATTTTTTGCAGGCATACCAACAAAAAAAACTCAAAATAAAGTTGAACACATTTATTACTTTTCAATTATACATGATTGAGACTTCTCATACAACAGATTGGGGGTTTTGAAGAACATAGCTCAGGAGGGATAGACAGAGAAGGAGAAGGTGAGTTGGGTTGGAACCGCTGATGCTAATTGCTTGACTTTAGAAAGGTAAGAACTAAGTAGAAGTCTTTAGAGATGTATATAAAAAGAGTGGTAGATTTAGTTATGGGCCTCACAAGGTGAAGAGAAGGTCTTACAAGGTCAAGAAGAGACACGAAACAACAATAAAAAGATAATAGTTAATTAAATTAAAGCTCAGGTAAGATAGCACCAAAACACAAGTCAACAACCCTTTCTTATCAGCAAGCTTTCCATGGTAGCTTGCAACTTCTGAAAGGATTCATCAGTGAAGATTTCTCTTGATGATCCGCTGACTACACCTTTGATTTTGGTGTTAAACATCTTGGACTTGGTTTTGGTGACCTGCAAAAGAAGTAGTATATGTAATTCAAAATCAAATTGAAAAAACTATTGCTATTGTATAATTTAAATCCAAAACAAAAGAGATAAAGAAACAAAAAGTGATCTAATGAAATTTGATATCGAAGGATTGATGGATCTTATAAAAGGAATTGAAAGATTATTTTTTGTTGTGTAATTCGATGAGATATACTAAAAAGGAAAAAAAAATTGATAGAACCTTGTCATATGTATTATCACCACAAACTTAGGCATTAAATTAAAAGAAAGACTAGCGTTAGGAATTGAGAACCCATATCATACCTTGTAGAAACTTGCACTTGCTTTCAAGAGAGAGATGGGGGAGAGGAGAAAGATGGAGAAAATGAAAAGGTGTGGATGTTTATTGACAGGAACTAGTGGGCTATCTGTGTGGGCCCAATGTCAACGGGCTCGTAATGTCATCCTATTATTTACAATACGGCATCGTTTCATAAGCGAGTGGATTTTTAGACTGAACCGAGGATCGAGAGAACCGGTTCCCCGGTTTACGAGAGTAACTGTTAACCTGCAAGTGATCCGATCTAAAATCTTCAACTTCATGGCTTTGCTCAAGAACTTTTCGCGCTCGAAGAAAACCCTAAATTTCCACTCCGTCTCTGAAATCGATCGATTCGAGACCCTAATTTTGCAATCTGAGCTCTTCGAGAGTCCAAAGGAAGCTTAATTATCGAGTCTCCTTGGCAGGTGTTGAGGATTTTGATGGTTCAGAAAACCCTAATTTAGTTCCGCAGAGATGAACATGGACGCGAAGGACATTTTGGGGTTGCCCAAAACTCCGTTGTCTATACCACAAGAGAAGAAATCTCGACCCCAGAAGGATTCCCAGAGAAAACCCGATGGAATTTCTCGCGAGGTATGTACTTAAAACTGGGGATCAAATGTTTACTAGGTTGTTCTTCTTGTTTTAGCTTAAACTGAGCTGGTTTTGGTTTCTAAATTGCAGGTCTATGCACTTACAGGGGGTTTGGCTCCGCTCATGCCTTCCATTGATGTCTCTCAGTTGAAAAAACGCCCACCCTCTGACGAGAAGGTTTCTTAGTTCTCTTTAGACACATATCTATGCATATGTTGCAGAATTTAGTTGAATTATTGGCTTTTTTCCCCCCCTAATTATAGCTTGGCATTTTCTTCCGAAACTCGGTGTTTCTAACCACTCAGGATATCTGTTATTTCTTACGTCCTTTGCTCAAATCAAAGTATATCCCAAGTCTATGGATTAAGTTGATTTTGACCATTTATCATGCATTGTGTACATTGGTCTCGGACTTTGACAGCGACACAAAATTAGTTCCAGAATCCTTCTATCTGTATCTGATACTAATGGATTTTCAACTATTCCTTCAGATCACTTGGCAGTGGCTTCCTTTCTCAAACTCTGCACGGAAAGATAATTTGGAGCTTTGCCACTGGGTAAGTCTATGCCTCTGAAATGCTTGTCTCCTAAACTAATCTATTTCAATAATATAGTAGGGGTTCAAGGATTCATGATCTCTTGCACTTGGCAGGTTAGAGTGGTAAATGGTGTTCCACCAACAGGGGACTACTCTTTTGCCAAGTATAACAAGGAAAGAATAAGCCTGCTTTCGTTTCTGTCTAGATTTTTTGATTTACAGCAGTAATGCTGTTTTTATTTTTCATTTTTATTTTTCTCTTTTGCCTCTTCCAGTGCAATTTGTTTCATCACAATATTGAATGTTTGGTTTGGGTGATGCAGTCTGTTGATGTTATCAAATACACAGATGAGGAGTATGAGAAGTATTTAACTGATTCTGTAGGTATCAACCTAAGGTTGATGATCTTTTATTCTTTTGCCCAACAAATGATTCAGTTTTATATTTTTCTAAATTATGAAGCCAAATTATGCCCCATATTTGGAATATATGTATCATTTTTATTCAGTTTTTTTTGGTTTATTAGATTTGGACTAAAGCAGAGACAGACCAATTGTTTGACTTGTGTGAACGCTTTGATCTCCGCTTCATCATTATAGCTGACAGGTTCCCTACATCAAGGACTGTAGAGGAACTGAAAGATCGTTATTATAGTGGTATACCATCTACTCGCTAGGCTAGTCAAATCTCACTCACTGTGTTCATTCTGTACTTTGCACGTATATTTCTTCACTCTTTCTAGAACTATATCTGAATTGGTTTATGAGAAATTATATTTGATCTTATCATGATAATGTTCCTTTCTTTATGTAGTTTCTCGATCTATATTGCTTGCCAGGGCTCCATCTTCTGGGGATGTTGCAGGACATCCTCTTGTTAAGGTAGCTTCTCTAGTGGATTTTTTAGATGAGTGATTCACTTTCATGATACTAATTCTAGTGATAGGAATAATGCTCCAAATTGTCATTTCTTTCAATTGTTTCCACTGGGTAGCCTGCTTCCTAATCTTTTCTTCTTGATGCAGGAATCTTACAATGTTTCTCAGGAGATAGAACGCAAACGTGCATTGTCAATGGTCCTCTCCCAAACAAAGCAGCAAGAACGAAAGGATGCTGAGGTGTTTACTAATTTGCAATTAATGAGTTATTGTTGATTAGTTAACCTGCCCAGCAATTATTTGCACATGCACTGTTGGTTGTGCATGATTTGTTTGTTAATTTGTCCGTTGTTAATTTCTATAGGTTCTTGCTGAAGCAAAACGAATAGCTGAAGCACGCATGGCTGCACGGGTAAGAATTAAACATGTTATGCTTTATCCAATTTCCAGTTTTTTAAGCTTATGTAACAATTAAATTTCAAGTCAGACCTTGGATGAATTTCATTTTCAATTTGTTCAATAAGTAAAATAATTTTAGATGCTTGTAAATAGGATTCTACTGTCATATCTTGTAGTTAGGGGGTTTGTGAACATTTGCTTCAATGTGTCCACCTGCATCCTTCATTTAGGATGATATAAGTTCTTTGGATTCTACTTGTCAGGCTGCTGAAGAGCCTGATTTGCCAGTCACAAGGGAAGTTGGTCCTGAAATTGCTGATAGGACTGCTGTTCATGGTGATACTGTGTCTCCATCCAATAATCACCCCCCTGCAGCTGTTGTACCATCAACTTCAATGATGGCTGATAATGCCTCCACTTTAGCTTCCTTGCGAATGGTAAGTGTGCTCTCTCTTTTTTCTCTCTTAAGAAAGGTTAAATATATTTATGTAAAGTTCATCTTTAATGGTTTTGTGCTTGCAAAAATGATCTCTTAACTGCTTTGAGATGATTTTCAGCTTAAAGTGTATTTGAGAACATATGGACTTGAACAAATGGTTCAAGCTGCAAGCTCATCTGCCGGACTTCGGACCATAAAGCGTGTTGAGCAAACTCTACAAGACCTTGGGGTTTGTATATGCTTTGTGAATGATCTGCCTATAGTGAATTTCCTTTCTTTAGCACATGCACACACACACACACACATGTATATATTAGAGGATGAAAATTTTATGTCTAATTTTTCAAATGGCCTTGACATAATTCTACCAATCTAATTTCTGTCTGTGTTAGTTAATTTCGATTTCAATGCTTATGTATGACTGCCCTTTTAATCATTGGATAATATTTTAATATAGCTTGTATGTATTTGCCCTTTACCAGGTTAATTTAAAACCAAAGGTGCCAACCAAGGCTGTTTGTGCAGAGCATCTTGAATTAAGAAAAGAGATTCTTACTCTACTAAATCTTCAGAAACAGGTAACGCATATCCGAAAAACTTTTATGGATCTCATTTCTCAGTGCTTATATTATCATTTTATTTCTTTCATGTGCAGGTACATACATTTATTTTTTGTGAAAATGTTTGCTAGTTTGTATTTTTCCTGCAACATATTTACCTCAAAACAAATTGAAACTGCTGTATTTTGCATCAAACTTATTTCCTTTTTTATGAATTTGTTATTTGGAGAGCCTGCATATAATGAAAATGGTAGTCTATATGAAAAAGGTTTTTTAGTTAATTATGCCATGTTCTCATTGCATAAAGTAAATGAATACTCTTTGGCAAATCTTACAGAATTGTCAAAATACAGAAGTGATCAGTTAAAGGGAAGACTAGTAGATCTCTCATATAACTTATGCAATTATGCTAAGGTGTTAAAAGATGCAGGGAATTTGGTTTGGGCTGAAAATTAATATTGGTCAAAACACTTATCTTGATTGATTATTAGTAAAATAGTAAAACTGGTGTTTTGCTTTCACATTTGAAGGATTTTATCTGGTCCTTTTCAGTTACAATATAAGGAGGCAGAGGGTTCATCTTTCCGTGAGGGTTCCTATGGTGATATTCCAGGCACACCACCAAAGGTTGGTGATCTGGGTTAAATGGTTTCTGATTGCTTATGGTTTTATCACTTTGTGATTCTATGAGCATAGTTTGCTGTTCAATGGTTGAATTTGTGATTTTGGTCATCATGCAGCGCTCCAACCGTGGTGCTGATCAAGATCGGCCATTTGTTCCAGACTCCACTAGTTTTGGAGGTAATTTATAACATGATGTGGAGGTTATGAAATCTGCTGTAGTTTTGGCTTTTCCACAAGATCAAGTCATTGGATACATGGTTTTAATGAATTATATATTTGATTGGCATTCCAGGGGAAAGGGTTGGCAAAAGGGACCAGAAACGAAAGGTGCACAAAACCTCTCTATTTTATCTTTTCTCTGTTTTTTCATTGTGTTTCTTGTCAGTCCTTTGTTGAGTGTAATCTAATCCCCCTATTTGACATGTGGGTTTTAGGGACCTGGAAGGGCATCTGAGACTCCATCATCACCAGCTCATAAAAGGCCAAGAAAGTTCAAAACTTCAGATCTATAAACAAGTGGTGAGGAAGGAAACTTATCTTTTATAATTAAAGAGTTCTCAGCAACTTGGCGGTCATTTGATTCGCTAATGATTTTTTGGTTCCACCTTTTTATAAGATTTGGTTGAGACCAAATGCAATACACGGGGTGTAAGGTGGTGAACCTGCAAAACACCTGATTCCGAGGCTCTGGAGGACACAGCTAAGCCAATTTTGAAGTTAATTTCATCTGTGAAGCCCCATTCACCGAAGTGTTGTCATTATTCTATATCAGTAGCCGAGTTGTATGTTTTACAAGGAGACATTTAAGGAGACGTGACACCATTAGAATGAAACAGCTTCGAGAGTCCGAGGACTGAAATCCCTAGTTAATTGGTTCCTCATTGAATCAGAAATAGTCTTCCAGTTCTATAAAAGCTATTGCTTGCGACGACAAGTTGTACTTTCTAATTTCAATTGATGCCACTCATGTAAATGATAACACGCTCTTTGGTATGATAATTTCCTCAGCTCGCAGAGACGTTCATGGTTTCCATGCTACTTTAGAGGCTTTATTGTGTCAAGATTCAAGAGTAGGTTGCATTGCTAGAACGGATAAAATAGTTCAAGGGCTAGTTTCGTGGTTTTGACAGATATCACCATAAAAGATGTCACCGACTTTTGATAAATGCTCTACTTTAGCAGATATCATCTTGCAGAGTACCATGCACGGCATTCGATTCTCAAAATTCAATCTTGCTCTCATCTTCCACCCGGTTAAAGGACTGAAATTATTATCAGAAAAATGAATTGAAGTCTCTCCAGCTTTCAAGATAAAAGGTAAACATGCCAGACCATTTTGCTTAGATTTTGAGGTCCTCTAACATTCGACCCAATCCCTTTGACCATGCTCATTCAAGGGTGATTGCGTTTTTTCTCATGAATCTATCTCCAAGAAAATACTCTGAAAGAAACTAAATTTGTTGCGTCAATTGGTAGCAGGTTCTTCCACTTTGTTATTGCCCAAAAGAAAATACTGAGATTGATTTCTGAAGAAACACGTGAAGCTGAGTCTGTTGAAAAACATCAATGATTTCCTAAGTTCTGAGAGTTTACCTTCCAGAGATTGATTACTTGGACAATCACTTGCTACTTTGCTTACGTAGCGTAATGTCAAAAATGTATCATGTTTGATACTACCGACCACATATTGATAATATAACCAATTTTCATTCATGGTCAAATGTTCATGCCTAGATGGTACACACAGACAATCTTGGATCACATTTTGGCTGTAGGGAAGATACCTCCAGCCTGATAAAACATAAAATAGATTACCAATCCTCTAATCTTGTAATGCCAAAACCATCTTAACTGGCGAAGACAACATTCACAATGTCAGGGAACTTTTCCTTGATTGCTGCTTTGATTCCTGATCCAATAGACTCAGGACCTTCATACTTCACAAGGCAATCACTGCCCTCAATTGTTAATACTTCAACACTCCCACCATAATTCTTAATGGCAGGTCTCAATATATCAAGATGGCCATTCACTGCCTGCAGTTATACAGCATCAAGTTGTCATAATCACCAAAAGAAGCTACGATTCACATGGTGTTATTTTTCTTCTTGAGGGCTTTAAGTCAGTCCAAAACTCACCTCAACTGTCGTCTCCTTTACTTCATCATATACTTGGCGAATATCCTTGACAGCATCTCCAAATTTTTCCTTGAGCACTCTTTCAATCCCCATCTGCATGGTTGTTGTAGAGCTAGGACAACTCCCACATGCTCCTGTTATGAAGATATGAGAGCAGCAAAATTTCAACTTTGATTCTAATAAACCATCCCATTAGAAGGGCATTATCACTAAGTTATTTAAATCGTTAGTAAGCATTAGATTTCTTAAAATTTGCTTTTTAAGTCATTTAAAAGTAAAATTCAAGGGTTTTTTTTTCAACCAATTCTCAAATTTACTAACAAAATCTGCCAAACAGGCCTGAGGGGACTGAAGTTTGATGACTACTTTTGGGTAATGCCTACCCCTTAGTTCTGTTGAATTCAACTCAATTCTCAACTCTGATCCTAAAGTCCTAATTAACAAAAAAGACAATGAAACATCCATAATTCAAGCTCCAACACTAGTTTTCCTTTCAATCAAAGAAATTGTTGAACAAACAAAACCCACTAATCCATTGGGTAAAGAAATCGAAGGAACCATGTGCTAGAGGGGGAAAGAGGAAACCTTGAAGTTTAAGGGAGATGACACCATCTTCTACGGACACAACGTCGACATTCCCACCATCAGCTATAAGGTAAGGCCTGATATCCTCGAGAACCAGGTCCACGTTTTGAGGGGTGAGCTCGAATTTCTGTGCAGAGTACAGCCCAGGAGAGGAGCTTGTTGGCGCACTTGAGCTCGATGCTTTTAAGGATGTTCTGTTGAAGACCCTTGTTTGTGGGATTGATCTGGGTTGCTTCAGAGGGATGAATTGTGAGCTGTGAAGGGTTCTGGTGGTGGGTTTTGGACGATAAATTAGGGTTTTGGTTAACCCAGTCCCGGTTGATGTAATGGACGCCATTGCTGATTTGGGAAAAAAGGATGCCCTCACTCTCTCTAGGTTTCGTTTGTATTTTGTGTTCCTTTAATTAAAAAATTTGTCGCCTAAAAAATTTTGTCAAACCATTTTTTTCCTGCCAATACAATTTTGCGAAATACTTTTTATAAAATTTTGTTTGTTTTAGACAACAAAAAAATTCTGAATACCCAAAAAAGGAGGATTTTCTTTTTTTTTTTTTTCAAGTGTGGGCAGAGTGGTCTAGAACTTCTTGGGTTGTTTAAAATATACAATAAAAGTTTATAAATTTTAATCATTTAATATGGTGAAAAGATTAATGATTAAAACTTTATAATGTGTATAAGAGTTACGTATAATTATATTTTAACTCATAAAAATATACTTATATATTTATATTTTCTTATTTCAAAATAATTATTTTTGACCTTTTTTTAGTACAATGGATAGTAATATATAGTTAAAGTACCATTTTGGCCCCTCAACTTTTCACTTTGATACTAAAATTGTCCCTCAACTTTAAAAAATACTAAAATTATCCTTAAACCTTCATTTTCGGTACCAAAATAATTCTTCCGTCAGTTAAATGACAAGTGGCACATTAAAATGCCACAAAATCAATTCTTTTTTTGCTTGATTAATGACATGGAAAAAAAAAAACATAGTTGGCCATCTTTTCTTACGATGTGGCATTTTTATTTAATTTAAAATTTTTGATATCCTTTTTCTCTATTCACATCATCTCTTTTTCCTCTTTCACTTTCTCTCTCCTTTACCCTTCTTTTTCCCTTACCTCCGTAAACCCAGATCTGGGTTCTCTCTCAAACTTCATCTTCTTCCTTCTTTCCTCCTATCTTTCTCAGCTCATCCTTCTTTTTTCTTCTTCTTATTCTTTCTCTCTCTCTCTCTCTTCTCCCTTCTTTTTCCTCTCTTAAACCCAGATCTGGGTTTTAGAATTGAACAAGCAATTGAAGGTATCAAATCCATAATCCATTCTTACCAGATACAATGGAAACAATAGATTGGACAGACCATTAATATTTGCAAGATCAACCCATTTACCAAATCTAAAATGATTGTTCTTAAGAGAATTATTTAGGAAATAAAAATTGTGGCCCAAAACAATCCCAAAATCAAATAATAATTTTTCTCAGTTCCTACCACTTTCCTCGCAGCCAAACAAAATTTCTATACCTAAGAGTTGCTAGATCTAGCTAAATGCATACTGAACTTCACAATGGATCAAATTCAAAACAGAAATAGACAATATTCACAAGAAGTTTTGGCGTCGACATGAGCGAGAAAAGAGGCAATCTTCTTCATCTACATAACCTTCCCTCTAGTGGTCCCAAAACCAAGCGGCTCATAGATAGTTGCGGCGAGAATAAAAGACTGGTAGTCTCAAAACCCCACTGCATGCGCCACCAATGAATTCCTCTTGGAAAAAAAGCTCCTTGAAATTGTAAACCTGAAACAAATCCGATAAGGTCTGATTACAACAGTACTGCAACCACCAAGAACACTCCCACCACTGCTTACACACCTTCCCTTTCACCATCTTCACCAGAATCTTCTCATCATCCCCTTTCACAATCACCGCTAGATTTGCCAGCACTGTTATGGCAAGAGAAAGGTTTTTTCTTATCCTTTCTCAAACCCAGATCTGCAAAAATAATGTGTTTTGAGCATTGCATCACATTATTTGTAGTCCATGGTTTAAATCCAAACCAAACCTTATATTTGTAGATCTATAAAAATCCAAACCAAATACCTTAGAAAGAGCATCTTTGCCATGACAAATTCCAAACAATAGAACCACAAAATAACAGTTGTGAGCACTACATCACATGGACTCAAGCAGAGAAGTGAATCAAGTAGACTCTTCAATTTCTCAAACCCAAATAAAAGTAGGCAATGGCGTATTGTAACAATTTGTTGATAAGGAAAGGAAAATGGTGAGAGTTGATGAGGAAAGATCACCAGAAGTTTGAGAAAACTCCAGCAAAGAAGTGAATCGAGCATAGAACTCTTCGATGACACCATCGATGTTTCGTCTGAGCTTGTTGTATCAAACAACTGGAATTGGTTATCGAAAACCTAATCCTACAGCCTGCCAAAAGGAATCAAGAACCAAATGGATGATAATGAAAGTGACAATAAAGTAGAGGCAAAGCAACATTGGGAATGTCTGTGATGAAACCCAGATATGGGTTTGAGAAAAACCTAGATCTAGGTTTTTCTCAAAATTGTTACCGAAGGTAGGTGAAAGATTTACAAATCAGGAGAGTTCAAGATCTTGAGGAAACTAAGAACAATGACTTGACTCCTGGGACATCGAAAAATAGTAAAGTTGTTGATCGGTGTAAAACGAGCTTCATCGTCTAGGGTTAGCATCGCAAGGACGTCTAAAATGAAAGACAAAAGGAATTGGTAGAAACGGAAACTCTGTTATGAACATTGTAGCCGAAGAGATGAAGATTTGGTTTGCGTACATAAGGGAAGAGGAGAGGACAACATATGCTGCTTTCAAGTTGAAGTTCTTGAGACAAACCCAGATCTGGGTTTGAGAAAAACCCAAATTTGGAGAGGAAGAAAATATTTTTTTTTCTGACGTGGATGAAAAAAAAAAATCATTATTTTTAAATTAAATAAAAATACATACTCATAAAAAAAAATATTGCCAACTATGCTTTTTTATTTTCCACGTCATTAGTTAAGAAAAAAAGAATTGATTTGCTGGTAAGTTAACGTGACATCTGTCATTTAACTGACGGAAGGACTATTTTGGTACAAAAAATGAAAGTTTAAGGATAATTTTGGTACTTTTTAAAGGTGAGGGACAATTTTGGTGCCAAAGTGAAAAGTTGAGGGACCAAAATGGTACTTAAACCTTAAACCATAATATATCACTAAAAATTATCTAATGACACAAAACCTACAAACACTAATTTGTTGTCCCCCAAGTAGTCACAAACTTCATCAAGTGGGTCCTCAAAGAAATATAGGCCATCATCAAGATGGTAAAATCCTAATGCCATTATGTTTGCACAAATATTTGTCTCATGCAGTATGTACCTAACCTTGCATACCCATTCTCTTCTCATGAAAGCTTTGCATTTATGGACCAGATGTGATAATGTATTAACCTTAGTGGCGTTATTTTGCAATCTTTGAGTAGCTAACAAAGAATTTGTTTTTATAATGACTCATTGAAATCTTTTCTCCCACACTAACTGCATTCCTTTGCAAATAGCAAATAACTTGGCATGAATTGCATACCCTTCACCTAATTGTTGTAAGAACCCAAAGATCCACTGTTTTGTCTCATCTTGGTAACATCCCCTTATAGTAGATGCACCAGGTGCACCTTTTGTTGATCCATTCACATTAATCTTGACAAACCCTTGTAATTGAGGATCCTAACTTAAGAGATGAAAGTTGATTTTGTATATTTTTCGGATAAATTGCAACTTTTGTTAAATGATGTTTGAGCATACGTTCCTTGGTTGAAGTCCAATAAATGTTCTCATCAAATGAAGTTTTATTATAGCCCAACCATAAAAACCAACAGATAATAATGAAAGCAGTATCCCATTCCAATCCATTCTCTATCTTTTCCCTTGTCCTTGAGATATTATACTCAATCCACTTTTTGCCAATCATGGTTTACCATTCAATCCATATTGTGTTTGGGAATCCAATGCCTCAAAATTGTTGTTGATGCTTGGTAGTTATGAAAAAGGTTAAGATGTCTTCTAATTCCCACCCACAATGAGGGCAAATGTCACATTGAGTAAGTCCTGAGCTACCCTAGCCTTGTTCGTCAACACTCTTTCTTGTAGTATAAGCCATAACAAAAAATGTGCTTTAGAAGGTGCTTCGATTTTTTATATTTTATTCCAGCAACCTGTCATAGGGACAAAGTTTATATTAGATATTTGCTCATAAGCACTACTTGTCTGAAACTTACTAGAACCATTGTTCTTTCAATATTGCATGTTTGATTGGTGACTTTGTTCATCAAGTGCGAATAGGCTAAGTTGGTATAGAATATTCTCAAGTAAAATATAGTTCAACATATCCCATTTCCATCCATCCATTCCCTAGTAGTCTACCACCATTTTATGTAAATCTACATATGGGGTTGGTGTTTGTTTCATGAAGAATAACGAACTATCAACCAACTAGCTATCCGGCCAAAAGCTTGTATCTTTTCCATTATTTACTAGGTGCCTTATTCTTGTCTAAATTAAGTTTGTGGTCTCTAATATGGCTTTCCACGTATTAGCAGCTCTATTCCTAGCTTTAGCTTATAAAAAGTTCATGTTTGGAAAGCATTTAGCTTTTAAGATTTGGATCCACAAAGGATTTGTCTCCGTTGCTACTTGCTAGTCTTCAACCCAATTTTGCAAGAAGGGCCATGTTCATGTTGGATATAGTCCTCAACCCTAATCCTCTAAATTCTTTTGGCATGTAGACAGTGTCCCATCACACCAAAGGAACCCTGCGTTTCTTAGTTGAACCACCCCATAAGAACTCATGATTTGCCTTGTCACTCTCCAAGCAAACTACTATAGGAAGTTTAGTTGTTTGCATAACATGGTTAGCGATAGTTGACAAAACCGATTGAATCAAGACATGACAACTAGCAAAGGATAATTGCATAGCCTTTTAATGGCAAAGCTTGCTTTGTATTATTAAGATTATATCCCTATAACTTGCTTTAGTGACTCTCTTAGAATGCAATGGAATCGCCAAATAACTCTCTAAATCATTGGTAGCATTCATCCCTAAGATCCTTGTAATTTCTTGCACCACATTTTGGATGGTATTGGGAGAGAGATTTTGTGTTCTAAAGATTATGTAGATCATTAGTTGTTTTTGGCTTCTTCTTCTTCTTCTTTTCTTCTTTTCTTTTCTTTTTTTTTTTTTAAATTAAGGTTTTGAGCACAATTTATATATTTATCTATATTTTTTTAAAAAAAATTAAGAGATAAAGTGAGACTTTTTGTGATAGGTTAATTAATTAAAATAAATAGATAATGATAGGGTTAAAATAAGAAAAAATATTTATTTACCTAAAGAAACAATTAATTCAATACAAACTTAAAGTAAAAATAGTTATTTTGAGATAAATGAAGTAGTATAAATGTATATAATAATTCATTTTAATTACATTTAAGCAATTGATATTTATTTGTTAGTATATATAAATAAAAATAGAAGTGGACCTCAGCCAAAAAAACAAATAATAAAAGTCAAACACATATATAAACTATTCTTATTAAAATTTCTAATATTTAACAAGTACAATGAACAAGTATATTTGTACCTATATACCCAAAGAGTATCTAACAACTTGTTGATTTAGGAAAGCCTCCTCTTTTATGAGGTTTAACGTGACTCAATTTCAAATTAATTAAGATGTAATATAATTTTCGAATATCAAAGGATTAATACAAAAAAATATACCCAGAGAGTAAAATAACTAAGTATAAATTTTTAATATCCATTAAGTATCCAGTGTCAACACTTTTAAAATGTACATTTTCAACTTACATA